TCCCAGGGAAGTTTTGTGGTCACGATGACAAAGGAAAAGTTGGTGCCGAGGTGGACCTCCGCCAACACGCCTGACTCCCCATTAGTGTCCTCCACACATTTACCTTCACATGGCTCACCACCCTGGAACCTTGTCCTTGGTTTTGTCACTTCTCTACAAAGTTATCATTCTTGTGTAACATGCTAAATAAGCCACAGGGCCTAACCACTCCACTCCGTTACTCATCACTGCCGATTTGTCTCTAGTTGATTTGCCTTTGGTCAGCCCCTAACACCAACCCTTTGGAATCCACACTGGGGGTGGCCTTCACCAGCTGCAAAGGGCCTTCAGGGGCAGCCTCGAGTGACTGCAGACTCCAAGGCCTATCCCTGCAGCCCGTCTGGCTCTGGGATGGACCAGTTCTCAGGGACCTGCTTGCTGTGTGATCTTGGGCAAGTGTTTTAAACTCTCTATGCCTCAGTATCCTCATCTGTAAAATGGGATTTACTGTGAGGCTGAAAGAGATCGTGTAACATAGACCACTTAGCACACACACTATGCTCTCAATACACGAGCTTTTGCAGAACCAAAGCAACTGAAAGAGAAATAAATATGCCTGGGACCAGGAGGAAGTAGAAGAGATGTTTTTGCACAGTTATAACCTTGAACCCTGCCTAACCTTTAGCTTTCTGTTACACTAGAAGAATGGAGAGAAGAACAGAGAAAGCCTCTTTATTTACAAATTTACTTTTTGCTAGCTCTGAATATATTGAAAACATAAAATCAAACACTTAAGCCAAAAATTCCCCAGAAAAAGGTTTTTAAAAACTATTCAGTCAGTGTTGAGTACCACAAGGGGCTGAGTTTCTGCTCTAGCTATGAAAATAGCATTAAAAAAAAATTACTTGCCCTGGCCGGTTTGGCTCAGAGATTAGAGCACCAGCCTGCAGACCAGAGAGTCCCGGGTTCAGTGTCCGCTAAGGGCATGTATATCAGTTGCAGTTTGTCCCCGGTCCTGGTTGGGGTTGTGTGGGTGGCAACCAGTCAATGTGTCTCTCTCACGTCGATGTTTCTCTCTCTTCCTCCCTCTCTCCCTCCCCTCTATCTGAAGATAAATGCAAAAATGTCCTCGGGTGAGGATTAAAAAAAAAAAAAAAAATTAAGGCCGTCTTGGATCCACGGGACAAGAAAATTTACATGCCTCCAGCTCTGAGCTTTTCCAACCCCAGAGTAGCAAATGTTGAAAGAAGTTGCCCAGGTGACACACGGCACGCTTGGTGCTTCAAGAAAGAAGTTTGTAGAGGGGTCGACGGTGCCCACCATGATGAAGAGAACGTCCTGCAGCCCATCTTCTCTGTTTCCACATCGCTCAGAGAAAGGTGCTGGCGTCACCATCTGCACCAGGTCAGCTGTCTCAGTGTGGGGCAAGTTTATCTGAACAACAAAGTGCACTAGGCCTTCCAATGAGGGGAGTGGGCAACAATACCCCTCCGTTAAATTGCAGCTCATCACGTGGCACTCAGTTACCGAGCCACGTCACACCAACAACAGGGGTACCAACAATGTCACTCACACACCTCCATCTCCAAGCAGGGGTATTTTGCCTGAATCCTAGGAATATGATGAACCATCCCAAGCTGGTCAGGGCATTGGATTCCTAGCAGGACAAACAGCATGAGCAGTTCAGGGTTAGGAAGCCCCAACAGAAGCTCGCCAAGCATATGTATGCCAAAGCAGCAGCCTCCTCGACAGCCTTGTGCTGTGGACAGTGGGTCTGGATTGGGAATGAGCAGGAATCAGGCATTTGGAATGATTAACTCCTTATCAAGTAACATTTTTAATGGAACAGATGGAAGCGAAAATGGGACCGGATTGGACCTTTCAGATTTCCCAGCATTAGCAGACCGAAACAGAAGGGAAGGAAGTGGTAACTCAGCTCCATTAATAAAGCCCTTGGCTGGAAGAGCTCCTTACGTTGGAATGGTAGCAAAGCCAGCAAATGAACAATCCCAGGACTTCTCAATACACAAAGAAGATTTTCCAGTGTTACCTGTTCCAGCTATAAAGATCCAACATCAAGTAATGATGACAGTAAATCTAATTTGAATACATCTGGCAAGACAACTAACTTCAAGTACAGATGGACCCAAATTCTCTGGAGATAAAAGTTCAACAACACAAAATAATAACCAGCAAAAAAAAAAAAAAAAAAAGGGATCCAGGTGTTACCTGATGGTCGGGTTACTAACATTCTTCAAGGGATGGTGACATCAGTTTGAAATGATTGGCTCGTTAGCATTTACCAGGGCAGCAGAGACAGACGCAGGAATGGAACATCTTGCATTAGGAAGTCACTTAACACATTAGGCCTCAGTCTGAACTCTCCTGAAAATCTCTACCCCAAATTTGCATCACCCCTAGGCATCTTCACCTTGTCAACCTCAAGACATAGACTTCCAAGTTCCTAGGGATAAGCTGCAATACAACGTGGTCGATATGGAGAAGACCTTCTCTTCTATCTCTACTACATGAAAGGAGGAGACATCTAGCTGTAGTAGAGCTTATTTATTTATTTTTATTCCTCACCTGAGGATATTTTTCTATTTATCATTAAATAGAGTGGGAGGGAGGGAGAGAGAGAAACATCAATGTGATAGAGACACATTGACTGGTTGCCTCCCATACAACCCTGACAAGGCCAGGGAGTAACCGCAACCGAGGTACGTGCCCTTGTCCAGAATCGAACCCGAGACACATTGGTCTGCAGGCTGATGCTCTAACTGCTGAGCCAAATTGTCCAGGGCTGCGGTAGAGCTTTTTTTTTGGTACATGCCCCTAGTGGGAACCGAACCCGGGACTCTCTGGCCCACAGGCCGACGCTCCAACCACTGAGCCAAACTGGCCAGGGCGTGGTAGAGCTTTTTAACCGTGACCGGAGATACCACAAAGAAGAACAAGTATGGATTACCAGGGCACCAGGCATGGAGCCAACAATAAAAACCAATACATACGAGAGGGGAACATATTACTTCTTTGACAGTCTTAACTGGAGGAAAGTAGCTAAGGAGTTCCATTTGGAAATGACAAATTAGAAGAACAGCCTCACCTGCCATCCACCTTCAACTACAATCCTGCTCAGCAAGCCTTCTAAAAAAAAAACAAACAAAAAAAAAACGCTTTCGCTCTGGCCAGTTTGCTTCAGCGGTTAAAGTGTTGGCCTGCGGTCCCCAGAGACCCGGGTTTGGTTTCTGCTAAGGGCACGTACCTTGGTTGCAGTTTGTCCCCGGCCCTGGTTGGTCGTGCGGGTGGCAGTCACTCAATGTGTCCCTTTTGAGTTAATGTTTCTCTCTCTCTCTCTCCCTCCCACTCTATCTGAACAAAAAATGGAAAAAAGTCCTCGGGTGAGGATAGAAAAAAAATAATAAAAATTTAAAAAAGAGCCCTGACCGGTTTGGCTCAGCGGTTGGAGCGTTGGCCTGCGGTCCTGAGAGACTCGGGTTCAGTTCCCGCTAAGGGCACGTACCTCGGCTGCAGTTTGTCCCCGGCCCTGGTTGGGTTGTGTGGGTGGCGACCACTCGATGTGTCCCTTTTACGTCAATGTTTCTCTCTCTCTCTCTCCCTCCCACTCTATCTGAACAAAAAATGGAAAAAAAATGTCCTCAGGTGAGGATAAAAAAATAAATTTAAAAAGAGACTTTCCTTTTTTTGGGGTATGGTGATCTCAGCACAATACTCAACATAACTGCAGAACTGATGTGGCCCAGGCACACTAGTTTTACTTCCTTGAGGTTTTGGCAATTGGCTTATGCAAAGGGTCACCATTTGAGGTCCTGCCTTACTAATTATGTGCTGCCCACGAACTCAATTTGTCATTTGTTTTTCTCTAGTTTGAGCAGGGTCTGAATTTTTTCATTATTTTCTTTTTTGCCAGCAGACAGACTTGGGTCTATAAAGACAAGCAAGCACACAGACAGAGGTTGACTGTTTCGTTTCTGAAATGTAAAAAAGAAAACCCACAAAAGACTCAACAAAATTAGACCACAAAATTTGCACTGTTCATTGTAGCACTATTGGTAATAAAATAAATGTGCATGTTTATGCAAAGATCCTTCTCGTATTTCATTTGGAAAAGTGAGCAAGTTCTGCTTCCTTCATTTTACTTTCCCTTCTGTTTTGTTTTTTTAATTTTTTCTTTTCCTTTATTGATTTTAGAGAGAGAAGAAGGAAGAGGGAGAGAGAGATAGAAACATCGATGAGATGGAACATCGATTGGCCGCTTCCTGCAGGCCCCCCACTGGGGATCGGGCCCACAACCTGGGCATGTGCCCTGACCGGGAATCGAACCAGCAACCTCTTGGTGCATGGGTCAACACTCAACCACTGAGCTACACTGGCCGGGCCCCTTCTGTTTTTGAAAGGCAGTTTGACCAAGTTTAATGCAAACGTATCTGACTGTTTAGAAGAAAGGTATTGCTACAATCTCTAAATGGTTTCCGGGATTGTGTTATTACTGAGCGTCATCTTTCCAGAATGAGCAAAACACTGTCCAGTCTTTGTTATGATCTTGTAATAAATGTGTACATTTTTTTAAAATGTGGACATCACATGAATAAAAGTATGTATGTACGAATGTGTCTATATTATATATATGACATCTATTTTGGAAAATGTTTGCCCTGCTGTACCTAATTTTTAGGACTAGGACATTCTGGAACAGCTGGTCAGGGGACTTTGTCTCCCTGTGCACTCAAAGGCCAGATTTTCAGCAGCCGAGGACACCAAGTGAATGTGATGGGACTTAAAGTAAGTGACTGAGACGATTCACTCTGGCTGTTTGAACAGCAGCGTTTCGTAGGAAAAGTAAAAAAATCAATCTTGATTTTCTGACCAAATAAAGGCATCTTCTCTTTGTAATAAACTAGAAAAGCTCTCCTCAAAATAAATTGTAAAAAATTACTTAAGGAGTGTTTCCTATTTCAGATAAAAAGTAGGCTCTTCAGGTAAGACAGTTACCTGACTTCTCAAATGTTGTCAGCATCAGAAACATCTGGGAACTTGTTAGAGTTCAGATTCTGGCGACTGTGACTCTGTGGGTCGGGCGGGGCCGGGGACCATGGCTGCTGCTGGCCTGTGGACCACATGCACGTTAGCTGGGCTTGACCGAGCCTCCCAGCCCTTTTCAATGACTCCCTTTCAAAGAACCCACTCAGCGGTTTGCTGTACAAGCAAGGGACTACTTTCCCCCGGGTCACAACTTATTTTCAGAATGTAAAAGTAATCTCTGTAGATTTCACTTCTGCAGAATGGAATACAATAATTATTCAAAAACTGAGACTGTCGAGAGCCCCTGGTTCCGTGTCTGCCAGGCACCGCGCTCAGTCCGGGGAAAGCTCTTCGCGAGGGAGCGGCGAGGTGGGAGTTGAGCGGGTGTAGGCAGGACCAAAGGGAACCGGAGCAGATCCGTACTCCCTCCCCCAGGTCAGCGTGCTCTCAGGAAGGCCGAAGCCACGGGCTGGCTCCAAAGCACAGCACTGACTTTGTCTGACCATGGGGGGCCCACCGCACCAGGGCCCCCGTGGAGCGGGTGAGGCTCACTGGCTGGCACCTGGGAATAGGCAGGGCTGCCCTGCTCCTCTCCCTGGGTCACCCAGAGCTCTGTCGACAGTCCTGTGAGCACAAAATGGTGTCAGGACACACTCCAGTCCAACTACCCCACAGCTGGGGGCCTGTTTGCCTGGTGAGAGTCAACTCTGTGTGAGAGGTGGCAAGCCTTATTTGATCTCCTTTGCACCTTCTTTTCCCTGCCCACCCAACACCTCGTGGATGATTCTGGGGGCAGTGCCCAGCAGGCTGGGGGAGTCAGGGTCCCCTCACTCACCAGGGATAGTTTTCCGGATTTCACTGTACACTGTCTCGGTGCCCTTCCTTCCCAGACCTGGAAAGGGACCAGTCAAAGGTCAATAGCTGCCTCTGGGCACCAGGTCAACCCATTGCTGAGCAGGAAAAGAGCGGAGGCTCCCCCGGCAAGGCTGCACCCTGATGCCCCACCCCATGAGTGCCATTTCCAGGAGCGCCTGGAGACCTCTCACCACCAAGCCCAGGCCACTTCCCGGCTTTAGAAGATCCTGGTCTAACCAGTGCCACTCAGCCTGCAAGTACGAGGACAACAGATCACCATGGGAACCCTGGACCTGAGGGGCCACTGGTGGAGAGGCCCCCAGCACAGGCTGCAGCCTCCAGCTCAGTGGCCTCCTCGCTGTTTTCCTGTCACTGTATCCCTGGTTCCAGCAGCTCTGACAGCTTGTCCTAGGAGGCCGGGCTGTGGCCTCCCATCACCCGAGGTCTGGGTTACAGCCTGAGCATCGTCTATGACTAAATATTAACTGGGACTGAGAACCACTTCCAGATATAGACAGCTGGGCTCCTGGATTTCACATGCCAACACCTGGCCCTCACCGCAGACACTGACTGAATCTACCGGGGTGGGCCCTAGCTTTGGTATTTTTTAAGCGCTCCCCAGGGGATTCTAATAGGCAGACTGGGCTGAGATCCCCTTGTCTGGACTGTTTTGAAACAGCAGACAAGATGGGCCACCCTGGGTGTGAATTCCACCCAGAGGAGGCATACAGGTTTGGGAGACAAAGAACACCCATTCTACCATCTGCTTGTGCACATGCACATGTACACACACTCCTAGTGAGTCTACATGCAGTGTACACACATAGTCCACACACACAGGATGCACACACAGACATGCACACTCACATACACACACACCACAAACCCTCAGGAAACAGGATGGACCTGGCCACTTCCCTGGCTCCTCTCACTGCACAAAGGATGAGGAAGCCTCCTTGTGGGAAGGCATCTGATGCCATGTGGCCAGATTCTCCCTCTGCACACTGGGAAACGTAGCCCTTCCTGCTGCCAGTCAGTGCCATGTAAGTGTTTCCTTCCTCAGTGGCCAGTGGCGAGGGCACATTCCTGGACTCCAACTACACAAAGATACCCTCACCTCACTATGCTTCAGGGACACCCCCGTCTCTTGCCCCTGATCCTGCACGAACTCCTCCACTGCCTACATGGCCCTTTCTCTTTGCCCCTTTCCTCCTTGTCCTCCAAGCCCCAGGACAAGCTTTGCTCCTGTACTCGGGTGCACACACCCTCACATACTCATCCCTTCCTGTGCCCTGGGCAGTTACATAGGCCCCTGTGCTCTCACAGCACTTTGGGGACACTTGCCCATGATATGCTGACATTATTTGTCCCCACACTGTCTACCCTGGTGGCCCCAGAGCTCCTTCAGGGCAGCACCTGAGATCTTGTGCACCTTCAATCCCGGGCCCTGCACAGCTACCTGGAGGTACCTGTAAAGGTTTGATATGACAGTGAAGACACCAGTCAATGTCCCTGCAAGTGTCTATCTCAGACCCATGACCTTCAGAAAGGTCTTGGCACCATCAGCCCAATCCCTGAGGTTTTCTTTTTTTTTTTTATCCTCACCTGAGGACATTTTTCCATTTTTTGTACAGATAGAGTGGGAGGGAGAGAGGGGAAGAAAGAGAGAGACAGAAACATTGACGTGAAAGGGACACATCGAGTGGCTGCCACCCGCATGACCAACCAGGGCCGGGGACAAACTGCAACCGAGGTACATGCCCTTAGCGGGAACCGAACCCGGGTCTCTCTGGACTGCAGGCCGACGCTCTAACCACTGAGCAAAACCGGCCAGGGCTCCCTGAGGTTTTCGGCTTTAGGATTAAAATCCCGGTCATTCATTATAGACTGAATGATGGTGGTTCTGTGGCAGGACCTGAATGCCAGAAGATAGCCTGGGGGTGGTTCAGATCCCCACAGCTGAACTTGGGGCACTTGAGGTTGCCAAGGCCTTGCAGAAGGCGTCATAGCAACGCCCCTGTCGCATGGAACAGGAGCTGGAACTCAGTAGAGTGGCTGAGATACCTGGCACCTCCTTGATGGGGCATCTGCCTTTCCCTAAGAGGACCGCAGAGATGCCCACACCACTCTCCCTCTGTGACACAGATTTGGGAATGTATAGGGAAGCTCCAGGGATCCCCATATCTGCAGGATCCACCACATCCCCAGAGGACTCTGCTTAACATCAGGCCTGGCAAGTCACTCGTTCAGTATGATCCTAACAGCTGCTATGTGCCGGGCACCACGGAAGAGGAAAAGGTGACCTGGACCTGCTTCGAGCCTTCAGGAGCCCCAGGCTATGGGCGATGGGTGCACAAACAATACTGTAGGACATGTGTCAGGTACACTGGGGTGGCTGCCAGCTCATCCTCCGACCCTGCCCCGCATGGACGTGGAGGAGGGGCAGGAGGAAGGAATGGAGCTGGGGCTTGGTGGCCAAGCCTAGGGCCCTGACACCCTTGGGAACTACACTGTCCCAGGCTCATGAGGGGTGGCCAGTAGACTTCTCTGGTTACCTTGGGGACACTCACACACTCTGGACCCGAAGAGCTGCACTCAACTCCCTTTCTCCTCCTAAGGGCACGTGAGCCTGGGCAGCAGGGTGGCTGCCTCTTCGTGGTGCCCAGCGGTCTGTCCTGTGCCCTCCTGGTTCTGCCCAACTCAGTGGTGGGCAGGAGCTTGGGGCTACCCCTCCCCTTGCTGCTCCCCAGCAGCAGCTGCTGCTAATGACTAAACCAGCCAGCAGGCTGTTCGGCTCAGCTGTCAGAGGTATTTCCAGATGGGGCTTTATTTTGGCTTGTTTTTCTCTGTTAACAGAGAGAGATGGCTTCACCCTCATGGGGTTTTCCCAGCAATTAGTCTCAGAGCAAACACACAGCAAACCGGTGTTTACTGAGTTCCTTCCTGCCCCTCCTCCACCCCCAAGGGACCACTTGGTCAGCCGCCAGCCAGGGTTGGAAGTGGAAACGGTTCCCCCCCAATCCCTTTCTCCACCCCAGCTGTGGAGGAGGGAGGCCTTGAGGACAGGGAACTGGGTTGGCCAAGACCAGGTCAAGTACACTCATCTCTGGCCTTGCACCCACAAAGCCCTTTCTGCCTGGTAACCCCCCACTCCACTCAAGAGAAAGCAAGGGAGCAGCATCACGGCCAGGCCTGCCCTGTCCTCCCCACTGCCCTCAGCCGCCAAAGAGGCTGGGTCCTGAAAACACGTGAGTCCTCTAGGAACTCTCCATTTCCACCCGAATGATCCTCACTCCAGCTCTGCAGAGGCCCCCACAGCAACTCTGTGCAAACTGGGAAAAGGTGACCACTTGGGTGGTTGCACCCCTGACTCATCCTGTCCTATTACTTTGTTTCCCTTCAACACCACCCTCCCCTCTTCAGACACTACTAATTTAACCAGACACTACTAACTCGAAAATATTCCCAAAGGAACCCCCTTCCAAGGCCAAAAGCCTGCTTCCTTCTTCCTCCTTCGGTGTCCTTCCAGCCAAAGCCTTCCAGGCCTCAGGCACAGCCCTCTTATAATTCCACCTCCCCTGTGCCCCTCCCCGACACCCAGTAGCAGAGCAAAGGCTGGGGGTAGAGTCAGAACCTGAGGCTACAGCCCTGTCTTCTTGAGCACTCCATAGGGTGGGGGTCAAGAAGATGGGGTTGGTTTCCAGCACATTCAACATCTTTGGGCAGCCCTGGCCTCTTGTCATGTGCCTCTTTTCTTCTACACCAGAAGCCCTCTGAAGAGGAAGTGAGCTGCTACTCAGGGACCAAGCCCACGATGCCCAGTGATGGAGGGGCTCAGGCTGGACCAGGGAAGGCTGCAGGGAGCCCTCCACCATCGTCTGCCACAGCCCACCCAAACTCGGTTCTGAGCACAAGACCCCTGTGCTGCCTCCTCTTGGGCATCTGGAACTTAACCCAAGTGAGTGACTTGTCATCACAGCACGTTCCTCCCAGTCTCAGACATCACGACCATCCACGCAGTAATTTTGTCTCCCTCATTCTGGCTGTGAAATTTTACATCCAGTGCTGTGATTTGTCTCCAAAATATATCTGGAATCCATCCCCCCCTGTCTACTGACCAGTCTTGTATCCCCCACCCCCACTGCCACCCCACCCCTCACATCTGACCTCATCAGCCACAAGTGTTGCTTTTTTTTTTTTTTAATCCTTGCCCAAGGACATTTTTCCATTTTTTGTTCAGATAGAGTGGGAGGGAGAGAGAGAGAGAACCATCAATGTGAAAGGGACACATCGAGTGGCTGCTACCCACACAACCCAACCAGGGCCGGGGACAAACTGCAACCGAGGTACATGCCCTTAGCGGGAACCGAACCCAGGTCTCTCTGGACCGCAGGCCAAAGCTCTAACCGCTGAGCCAAACTGGCCAGGGCCCACAGGGGTTACTTTTTAAAGAAGGAAGTTGGAACATGCCACTTCCCTGCCTAAAGGCTTCCAAATCCACTGAGACTAGAATGCAGAGAACCCTCTCCTGTCCTCCCAGTTCCACCTGCCTCCTCCTCCCCAGACACACGAGTCTCCTTTCAGATCCTTACATGAGCAAAGCTCTGGGCCACCTCACATTGCCCTTCCCATTTCCTGGGTCCTTCCTCCTCTGAGTGGGGTCAACTTCTTTGTGCCCTTCAGGCTGCAGCTCAAATGTCACCCCTCAAACCGGCCTCCAGGGGCCACCCAAGCCGGAATAGACGTCACCGTCCATACCTTCTCATTGCACCCACTTCCCTTCTGTTTGAGCACTTGCTCAACCTGATAGGACTTATTCTTTGGCTCCGTGTTTGCTGGGCTCCCTCAGAGGCTCCACCTCGGTGGGAGGTACCTTTGCTGCTGGTCCATCAGGGCCCTTAATTTATTAACTCAACAAGTGGATTATTTTATGATGAAATAAAGAGGAAGAGAACTTCAGGTCTGCCATGCCCCCACCCCTCCCAGGTCCAGTCCTGACTTAGAAGTGGGATGTGCAGACGGGCCACCCGGGGGATGGTGCAGCTCACAGCCTAGGGGCTGGATGGCCCGCCTTCCCTGGAGGTTCTCTGCACATGCCTGCTGACCTGGTACCCAGAATCTAAGCAAGGAAGAAGGAAAAAACCCAAAACTCCTCCCAGATCCTAGAGCAAGAGGTGCTGAGAATGTCACCACCCCATGGCTCTGGCTAATGCTATGCAGGTTTGGTCTAGAAAACAGCCCCAGGCCTGCCTGGCCTCAGCCTCAGCCTCAGCAGGAAGGGAGATGCAGAGAGCTGCCCAGCGGCGTTTGCTGTGGACCCGCCCACTCTGAGCCCATCTCCCCAGCATAGAGCCGGGCCAGGGCACCCCAGAGAGAACAGTGCACATAAAAACAAAGCCTGAAGATAAAGCTGGAGCCACTGTTTACACAGGAAAGGAATCTGTGCTTTCAAAAGGCTTTACCCAAAAGTCCCTTTAAGTAGCAAAGCCCCCACTACCTTCAAACATGCATTTCATTTACACAAGCTCCGTCTACACGCAACTTTTGAAGGAAGATGCTGGGTTTGGGCAAGGGGGTGTACGTCTGGAAGAAAGCTCAAACGCGGCAGTGAGGCTGATCTCCAAAAGTCTCTCAAAAAACACACTTCTTGGGCCCTGGCCGGTTTGGCTCAATGGTTAGAGCGTCAACCTGTGGTCTGGAGAGACCCGGGTTCTGTTCCCGCTAAGGGTGTGTACCTCGGTTGCAGTTTGTCCCCGGCCCAGGTTGGGTCGTGTGGGTGGCAACCACTTGATGTGTCCCTTTCACATCGATGTTTCTCTCTCTCTCTCTCCCTCCCACTCCATCTGAACAAAATATCGAAAAATGTGGCACTTAGTAACTGCTCAAAAAAATGTATCCTTTATTAGTAGTATGATAAATAATAATTAATGAAATTTTACACCTCAAAGCCTGGGCAGGGGTCACTGCTCCTACCTTAGGCATGTCCAGCAGGTCTGTCTACTGACCACCTCCCTTCTGAGTGACTGAAGGGGAGTAGACTCTTGTCCCTGGATCACTGCCCAGCTCACCCTGTGCGTCTACCCCCAAGGAGACAGCAAAGCATGGGGATTGATTCGAGTGATGGCATTTACCTTCATGAGGCTCAAGTGAGTTCACTTCCACTTCTGTGTACTCCACGTCCAAGGTCAGAGGCTCTGCTCAAAGGAAACAGAGACCTCGCAGTTAGGCAGAATCCCCTTGGGGCGTCCTCAGCCCACATGAGAGATTTCACTTAAATGATGAAGGTATTCCGTATTTTGAGGCCAAGCCAACACAGGTGTGACTCCGTTCACAGGTTAACCCGGCACACCCGGGACCGCGGTGCACCCTTCTGCCTGGCTCCCTGTTATTTCTGCGGTGGGAGGGTTAGTAAAAACTCAGTAGATACAGAAAAGGCAAGGATCAGCCACAGGCACAGAAAGCTGTCTCCAAGATGGAAAGGATCTCACGAAATGGGGAACGACAGGGTACCCCTAGCCTACCAAAGCTCTGGGACAAGATGTGTACACACAGAAAAGCAAGTTAATGAAAGCGGTCAGGGTGCCACGGTGAAATCTAGCAAATTACTTTGTCTTCAGCTCAATATAACAGTACGGTTTTGAAAGGAATTTTGAAAAATGATGTAGCCCAACCCTCCTGAGCTTCAGGCAGAAACAAGCAATCTGTTGTTAACTGTCTTGAAAGATAAGCAGCAGCGCTATTTTACTTTATTTTTTAGAGTGTAGTTTTTGTTTTGATGAAATATTGAGTAGGTGCAAAATATTTGTAAGTTACAGAAACAATAGCAATTCAGTAGATAACTTCATGCTGTACCATCACCCTTTTTAAGAAGAACATTTTTATTTCCTTTGAAATACCCTGCGTGCTTCTCCCCAACCCCAGCCCCTTAACACTCTTCTCCCAGCTTCACTGAGATAGAATTGAAATATAACATGTGTAAGTTCACGATGTCCAACCTGATGATTTGCAGTGATGCTATTTGAAAACAAATGAAAAAACCTCCTCCTCTACTCTCCAAGAGAAAGGAGATTCTCTTACCTTATTCAGTAATTCATTCTGATTTAGGAAGTTCCTTTTTTTAGTCTAACCCAGCTCTTTCCTACTGGAATTTAGGCCACTTTCCCATTAAGGACGCTAGATCGTGCTTTTGGAGAAAGCAACCAGCCTCCTGCATTTACTTATCAGCTGCTGACAGGGTTGTTAAGAGAGGTGGGGAAATACCCACAGGTGTTAACAGTTTTAGTTCTTTTCCAAGGGGTCTTTTTTAATGTAAAGGTTTCTAGTTTTTTTAAAACTAAATTATATAATTACCTTTATTTTCATTTATTGGTTTTGTTGCATGGTTTCCAATATCGTCATTGTAACCTAGTTTGAAAAATAACAATTAGGATGGGTGGCTATGGAAATTCTAGTTTTCTATATATAACTCCCTCACCACCACCACCCACACACAGCAGTGTTGCTGGGTCCCCCCTGGTCTTCCGATGGCTCCGTCCAACCCACTATGTGGTTTCTTTCTGATACAGTGGGGTGGCCACCATCCCTCAAGCCACACTTCTACTTGCGAATGGTTCAAGATTCTGAATTGTTCCCTTTAAGCAAGTTCATTAGAAATTAAACTTAACTGCAGCAGAAGGGAGCTCTGTAACACAACGTGAAGGACTAGGAAATGAACCTTCTCCAGCTGGAGAAGTGGATCCATGAGAACTCGGTTTATAAGGCAGTGCCCCCAGGCTGCCTCCTCAGTAGGCAAACACATTTTTTTTTAATCCCCACCCGAGTATATTTTTTCTATTTATCTCAGATAGAGTGGAGGGGGAGGAGGGGAGAGAGAGAGAAACATCGATGTGAGAGTGACACATAGACTGGTTGCCTCCCGCACGACCCCGACCAGGGCCAGGGACGAACCACAACTGAGGTCCCTGCCCTTGACTGGAATTGAACCTGAGACTATTTGGCCCGCAGGCCAATGGTCTAACCGCTGAGCCAAACTGGCCAGGGCACAAATTTTTAACCTTTTTAATCAAGTTGTTCTTTACTAAAGGCAATTCTTCTGAATGTTATAAATAAATAGTGTTTCTGGAGAATACCTGGTTTTTCATTATGTATTTGAACTAATTGCTATTGTGATCACTAACATACATTTTTAAACTGAAATAGTCCATGGAGAGACAACATAAGAATTAAACCATTTTTTTGCATCTTGGGCATTTGGGGGAATATTCTATTTTAACATGTCTATATCAGTATTTCATTTAACATCTCTGTATTTATGTATAAAGAATATAAATAGCCAACAGAACCCATCTTATACCCCCAAAAAAGGTATTTTCTCTATAACATTGGATTCCTTTTTGCTAAATAGTCACTGAATTTTTCTGAATGTAGTTTCTTAAATGATTTATTTGCTCTTTTGTCTTTATTGGAGCAGTACTTTTGTTACTACAAATGTTTTATTTCACTTTTTTTTTTTTTTTATCCTCACCCGAGGATATTTTTCCATTTTTTTGTACAGATAGAGTGGGAGGGAGAGAGAGGAAGAAACATCGACGTGAAGGGACACATCGAGTGGCTGCCACCCGCACGACCAACCAGGGCCGGGGACAAACTGCAACCGAGGCACGTGCCCTTAGCGGGAACCGAACCCGGGTCTCTCCAGACCGCAGGCCGACGCTCTAACCGCCGAGCCAAACTGGCCAGGGCTTATTTCACTTTTTAAAGGTTTATGATTTATTACTATAAGAATTGCTGAATTCTTAAAACATATCTCTCAGGCATGCCCTATTAAAGGTGTATCCTGAAATGTTCTTATTTATATATTTATTTATTTTTGTTCTTTTCTTCTTCTTTTTTTCTTTTGGTATGTTTTATTTGTTTTGTTTTATTTTTCCTCTTTTTTAATTTTCTTTTTATTCTCTTAGTGCTTATTTACTTATTATTTGCTTTTCTTCTGAAATTTTCTAATTTTGTGTAATACTGTTGGTGAATTAGAAAAGAACACGGCCCTGGCCGGTTTGGCTCAGCGGTTAGAGCATCGGCCTGCGGTCTGGAGAGACCTGGGTTCAGTTCCCGCTAGGGGCACGTACTTCAGTTGCAGTTTGTCCCCGGCCCTGGTTGGTTGTGTGGATGGCAGCCACTCGATGTGTCCCTTTCACATCGATGTTTCTCTCTTTCTCTCTGTTCCTCTCTCTCCCTCCCACTCTATCTGTGCAAAAAATGGAAAAATGTCCTCGGGTGAGGATTTAAAAAAAAAAAAAAAGAACAGAACATGGCTGTTCTATTCCCAAACCTATTGATAAGGAAAGAAAATGGCTCTAAATTTGGCCCAGGACAAGGCTCTCTGTGTGATGTAATTATAGGCCCCTCTCGAACAATTTTCTTTTAGACTTTAATGGGATTAATAACTCCTGGGACCTAGCCGGTGTGGCTCAGTGGTTGAGCATCAACCCTTACACCAAGGGGTCGCCAGTTCAATTTCCAGTCAGGACACATGCCCTGGTTGTGGGCCCAATCCCCAGTGGGGGGTATGCAGGAGGCGGCCAATCGATGTTCTCTCTCATTGATGTTTCTGCCTCTCCCTCTCCCTTCCTCTCTCTAAAATCAATAATAAAAAAATAAAGAGGAAGAGGAGGAGGAGGAGGAGGAGGAGAAAGAGGAAGAGGAGGAGAAAGAGGAAGAGGAGGAGGAAGAAGAAGAAGAAAAAAGAACACCTGGGATTGGCTAACTCAAGCTTGCAATAAGGCTCAAAACCAGGTGGTCCCCTATTGTTCCATTATTTTTAAAAATGTTTTTACTAACAGAGAAATATTCAAGTTGGTTTCCTGTTGTGCCAAGTTTAAAATGAAAATGTCTGTGCTTGTAATAAATGATTCCGTCTGAGAGATGTTTTATCGCTGCTTTCATTTGCTATCTGGTCTCTCTTACCAAGGGAGGGGAATTACACATAGGCAATGTTCAAAGTCTCTGAGGATGACCCAGATGGGTATCCACAGCACTGTAATTACTGCCCACCTTTCATTCCTCAGGATGTTTAGAAGGTGGTAAGATTAGAGTAAAATGTTCTACTCTTTTCCTTATGTTTTTGTTTTGCTTATCAGCTCACCACCCAATGGCTGATTAGATTAAGTGTTCCTGCTGGTGGGGCGTCCCCAGGAACCTGAACCCCACACCTGCAGGTTCCGATTCTAAGAGGGATAACCCAGTGGGTGGCAAGTTGGCAAAATCTCTGAGCAATTGCAGGAAACATGACTGTACCGTAAGGTCTGTTGGCTTCAGGACTAGAATCTGACAGCACTTTCTCGTTGTTGGAGGTCAGAAGCGGCACTGCTGGCCTTAAAATGAAATTTGAAAAGGAAAAAAACATGCAATGGTTTTTTGGCTCTCACATCAAACCAACACAATAATCAAGGAAAGATCATGAGAAAAGCAGGAAGAGAAGTGAAGGCAGATTTCACTTTCTCATTTGGAAAACAAACGTTATCTTTCAGTTGTAAGATTATTTAACAAATATGATTGCTGTTAAAATAAGTGTCGGGGCCAAAGGGCATGTAAACCACAGGAGTCCTTTCCCAGGTGGATCCCAACCCCCAGGAACTCATTCTGCACTACACAAGCCATTGTTCACATGCTTTTGTTCTCTTAAAAGGATCTTTTTTCTTTTGTCCATCTGCTTTTGGATTTCAAGAACAGTAAAAAGACTACAGCCACTGCTTTTTAGGCCCACTCTACTTTGCCAAGTACATAGATTTTTAAAATTCTATCTACTACCATTATAATTTTATAAGGGGATTTCACAAGAAACAGTGTAGGAAGGACATGACGTCAGGATAAAGCCATTTCTTCCCATGAAAGGACAGTTGGCAGTCTTCCACTTCGAGAGACACACACACACACACACACACACACACACACACACACCCCTACCCTACTCACACCCTTTTTATTCTGAGTTTCCCAAGAATCACGGAAAACTTCCTCATGACCAGACTCCCTACAGACAAGTGTATCCACACCCACAGTGCAGCTACCTCTCTTCCGAGGACACACACTGACCTGGACATCTCCACGGGCATCTGCTTGGCTTTGAAAGAGAAAGAGAAAAACCAAAGTCAATAAAAAGTGCCCGTGTCTGTAATAGACACAAACACTCATTTCAACCACATTGGACTTTCTTGAAGATTGGCTACCCATAAAAAGAGAAAAGAAAGCCAAATATATTTCTGCTTTCAAAAAAAAAAAAAGAAAGAAAGAAAAAATAATAAACAAAGTAGATCTTCTCTTGGTATTATTCTGAAAGATTTTCACACCATTTCATCCAGGACTCTGACATGTTGTTTTGTTTGCCAGGAGTTGTTTTCTTTAATGGAATGTGATAAGAGATGACTACAATGATACAGGGACCAGGTTAGCCAGATAAAAAGGCAACTATCTCTTCCATTCAAGACTATTCCAAAGAGTAAAGGCAGCCCTGGCTGGTTTGGCTCAGCGGTTAGAGCGTTGACCTGCGGTCCGGAGAGACCCGGGTTCGGTTCCCGCTAGGGGCATGTACTTCGGTTGCAGTTTGTCCCCGGCCCTGGTTGGTTGTGCGGGTGGCAGCCACTCGATGTGTCCCTTCATGTCGATGTTTCTCTCTCTCTCTCCCTTCCTCTCTCTCCCTCCCACTCTATCTGTACAAAAAATGGAAAAATATCCTCAGGTGAGGATAAAAAAAAAAAAAAAAAAAAAAAAACAAAGAGTAAAGGCTAAATCAACCCCCATGCTTTGAGTCCCAAGCTGGCCTGAGACCAAGTCTGTCTTCTAACCTTGACTGTTTTGCAATGACCCAGTTACCTTAGGAAGGGGTTTGTTCTGGAGCCTGTCTTCTCAGAGGAATTTCCTATTCTAGAAAAAAAACCAGGGCCCCTCCTTATCTCATCTGGCCCTACCCATCCCAAGCAGCAGCACTAGGGCCCCAACAGAAACTGCCTTATCCCACAAAAATCCTGGCAGAATGTCCTGGTGCTGGGCCGTCTTCCTTGAGTCCAGGCTAACTGGCTGCGATTCCAGAGAGTCCATGGGTGGTCCTGGCTGCCCTTCCATGTGCGGCTAACCTCAAGCGCAGGGTAGCAATCCAGGCACAACAGGCAGATTAAATGGGGGGCATTCGGTGTATGCGGGTGTGCACTCACACTCCACTCTACCAACTGTACGACTAAGCGTGGCCAAATCCACAGAAACGGCTTCTTCTGACCGCACATAGATGGAACTTTCCCCCAATTTTACCTTTCTGGGTTGCCCAACTAGGAAAACAACCACATTCATTCTTGCCTAGCTCCATCTACACTCACCAAAACCAAGATCTTGGGTTACCAAGGTGACACCCCAAGGAGGAAAACAACTGTCCTCAGTTACTTCTCCTTAGCTCCTGCTGGGGCAGAGCACAGCCCCCCATAAAGCTGAGGTCCCTCACATCCATGGCCAGATTCCTGGCTAGGGCAACCAATCAGAATGCAGTGAAGGAAGTGTGCTCACCCTTGACTTTCTTCCGAAAATAGTATCTGGCCCCAAGTGCCAAGAGGGCAATTACTCCGATGACAACCACTGCAATAAGTCCTATCTTCCATGGGGCAAGAAAGACTGCAAATAAGAAAAATTAAAATAGAGGGTTGTTGTTGTTTTTTCTCTGCCAGCAAGAAACAATAGCAGGCTCAAGCAACAAATAAGACTGACTTTTAGTTCCTGCAACCACATCTTACACTGAGCATCCATCTCTGAGGGATTCTGTGTTCATAGCTGGTATAGAAATGGCTGTTCTTGCCAGAGTCAGCCAGGGTCTTACAGGACTCAAGGACTGATATGGACGCTTTTCTGGGTCTGTTTGGGCCTCCTCCTTCCCTAGGAAGCCACCCTCTCTATTCACACAGGTGGGCTCCTCTGACCATCTCTGTTCTGCACGACCCAATCCCCGTGGCCACAGGTGGCTCATGGGGGTAGATGTTTGACCCAAGATGGGTCATTTGCTATCTCTCCACCAAGAATTTGGAATTACAACTGTGTGAAATACTTTCAATTCCTTATAATAACTGATTCCTCTTTTATATTTAATTTGAGTGTTCTTGTCACCGGGGACCAAAGAGCCTGAAGGACGTTGGTCTCTTAGCCCTCAGGAATAAACACTGAACCCCACCCGTTTCCTCTTACACGTGGTGAGCTCTCTGATGTCGCACTGTCCAGACGCGCCTCACCTTTGACTGTCAGTGTGTTGCTTTTGGGGACGTTTGGGGCAGGGTTGGCTCTGTTGGAGGCCGTACAGTAATACTCGCCCTCCTGTTCCACGCTAGCTTGTGTCTTGTACCAAAAGGCCTGGGTGTCATTCGAAGTGATTTTATAAAAAGGCTTGACTTCCTTTTCTCTGAAAAACTTGTAGGTGATTGGACCAGATGCTTTGTTCACGAAGCATCGAAGCACAATTTCTTTTCCAGACTCCACCATCTTATTACTCAAGATAGAGAGCTTGACCTCTATCACCGGAGCTGAAAAGCAGGAAAAGGATTAGCACTGAGAAAAGATGGGGTGGGGTGTGGCGGAGGTAGCACCTGACACAGCCACTGCCCATGGCCAGCCTCCACCTTTACCATGACTCAGACTTAGATTTATCGGTCCTCTTATCCCAAATTCTTCAGTTTTTCCCCTACTTAGCCCAGCAGGGTAGCAACGGATGCCTCTTGTCCTCATGTGTTGATTAAACACAGATGCTAGGGACACCCATCTTCACTTACCACCTCAAGTATTACTGACCACTCAGCTTGACTAGACCTATTAACTTATGTGTTCTGTGGAGGTCTGTTCTGTGTGAGTCTGAGTGCACACCCATGTGTGCACGTGTGTGTATATGTGTGTGTGTGTGATTTCTCTGCTTACAAAGATACATGGCATTTCCAGATCTTATGAAGAAGTAACTTAAACTCATGACCTTCCTGTTTTTCTCCTTTTTCCTTTTTGAATGGTCTAAACCTATTGCTTTCACATTCTCACTTCCCACTTTCTTGTTACTCCTGACATCTGACTTCCATCCCTCTGCTTCTGAAACTGGACTCTACCTCTGGCTTTGAAGAAACTCCAATGGTCACCTGATCCCCTGACTAGCTCATCTCTGAGTCCGTAGTGATTAAATCCAGTGGTGGATGTTCCTCCAGTCTCCCCATCCTTGGCCTCCCTCCAGCTCTCAGCTGTCACCCAGCCCTTCCTTTAGAACACTGCTTCCCCTGGGTTCTTGTGATGCCTCACAACCCAGATTCTCACCTGCCGCTCCCTCTTTATTCACCAGTTTTTCTTCCTTTTGCCTCTTAAATAGGGACTCTGCAAAATTCAGTCCTGTTTTCCCTCTCCATCCTCCTTTAGTGATTTCACCTACATCATCGCTTCTCGGTACATTTAATACATAAACACACAGCGTTTAATGCCTAAATACATAGCTCTAGTCCAGATTGCTCCTCTGAATTGCAAGTCTTGATTTCTACCGGGAAGCCTGCCAGCCTCTCATTCCCAGCAGGTCCAAGCAGAACATATCTTCCTCCTATATCCCCTTTCCCTGGTTCCATGTTCAACCACCAAAATGTTGATCCTAAATGGTCTTCCCATGTAGACCTTCCTATTAGTGTGAGAATGGGCTGGTCAGTAGACTAGCATCTGGCTTATAAATCAACCTCTTGAGTGTAGTGGGTGGCCAGACCATGGGGCTGCTGGTCCAAGGAAAGGGAGCCCCAGGCCTAGGATGAGAAGGTAAAGGTCAACCACAAGGGCAGACTTTTGAAGCATGTGGCCTGACATGACAGCCTCTTTCCTTGTGAAGCACAAGGGGCCAGTGGCAAGCTGGGATCAGGAGCTAGACTGCCTTGCCTCAATTCCCAGCCCCACTGCCTACCAGCTGCTTGTCTGAAGCCTTATTTGCCTCATCACAAAACAAGGGTAATATTATTATGGGTCTTACATGGCTACTTTAAGTATTAATGGGAATAATTTGCTAAAATACTTCACACAGGGCTGGACACATGATCAAGGCTCAGCAAATGTTAGCCACTACCATGGACCCGGTTTAAACCAACAGTTTCACAAAGGCTCCTACATTAGCTTCTTAAGGATAGATAAGGTCTGAAGTCACTACTCCTAACTGACAGAGACACCGGCTTAATCTTCCAAGACCCCATTCTCATCATGTCTGCCTGCCCTCCTCTGGCTCTCCACTGCACACAGGACACGCTCCCAGCCCCCAAGACTGGCGTTTGATTGCTGCCCTTCACAGTTGGGGTCAGGCACTTTTCCAGTCTGTATCCATGCTTCTCCATTTCAAACCTGTTTCCAGCCACCTGCTCTGAACTAGTCCCTGGAGATTTTGCTCACGTAGTTGACTAGACTGGTGGGCCATCTCCAGCCCTCTCTGCCCACACATGGTCAAGCCCTGGCTCCTCACCCAGCTCTTCCCACTCAGACCAGGTGATATCTTCATGCCCTAAATTCCTATCTCCATCACTGTAAGGACATTTCATGCAACAATAATGTGTTGCCTAATAACGTTTCTCTATGCTTATTGGCACTGTTATTCAAATATTCATGTATACCCAACTAGCTTCCCACTATTTTATCAGGCAATCCTGTGTTTCTTGTTATATTATTGAAAACAAAGACATTTTGTTATTGTTGTTATCCTCACCCAAGGATATTTTCCCACTGATTTCTAGAGAGAGTGGAAAGGAGGGGGAGAGAGAGAGAGAGAAAGAGAGAGAGAGACAGAAAGAGAAAGAAGCATCAATGTAAGAGAGATACATCAATTGGTTGCCTCCTGCACGACCCCGATCAGGGTTGGGGTACAACCCAGATATGCACCCTTGACTGGGAATCGAACCTACAATTCCTCAGTCCTCAGGCTGAGGCTCTAACCACCGAGCAAACCAGCTAGGGCAAGATTATGTCTTTTTTAACATGCCCTATAGTATTAGGTGCTTAATGTATATTGATGTTAATTTGAAAAGTATGGCTACTCTTAGACTATATATTAATGGTAGCAGGAACTTCTGTCAAGATGTCCACATGGCCCTGGCCAGTTTGGCTCAGCGGTTAGAGCGTCGGCCTGCGGTACGGAGAGACCCGGGTTTGGTTCCCGCTAAGGGCACGTACTTCGGTTGCAGTTTGTCCCCGGCCCTGGTTGGTCGTGCGGGTAGCAGCCACTCGATGTGTCCCTTCACGTCGATGTTTCTCTCTCTCTCCCTTCCTCTCTCTCCCTCCCACTCTATCTGTACAAAAAATGGAAAAATATCCTCGGGTGAGGATAAAAAAAAAAAAAGATGTCCACATGGCACATGTAGATAAAAGTTATTAAACAAGAAGAAAGAGGAGGAAGAGAAGGAAGGCTTATATGCTTTTATTTTTAATACTTTTTCTTTATTGATTTTAGAGAGAGAGGAAGGAAGAGGGAGAGAGAGAGAGAAACATCGATGAGAGAGAACATCGACTGGCTGCCTCCTGCATGCCCCCCACTGGGAATTGGGCCCACAACCTGGGCATGTGCCCCGACGGGGAATCAAACCGGGGACCTCTTGGTGCATGGGTTGACACTCAACCACTGAGCCACACCGGCTGGATGGCTTATATGCTTTTTATAACAGGATGCAGACTATCTCAGAGATGCAGGCGATGGCACTCCTGAGGCCTCTGAGAGACACAGATAGAGGTTCAAGGGAAAACATCCACCCAGGACAATGGGTAGGAGAGTCCAGGCAATTGTCAGCAAGTCCCGTGACGACAGCCTGCAGCACTAATTGCTGCAGGTTCTGCATGTGACAGCCCGACAAGAGTCAACCGTAGAGACGAGCTCTGGTCAACAGTTCTGGGAGGGCTGGCAGTTCACCTAGAAAGGAGCAAATGCTAAGAGCGCCCTAAAGCACAACTTTAGAGTTTCCTGAAGTCAGACACTTCACTCTTTCCTATATCTTAGCACTTCACCTGAAAGGCTCTGAAAAGAGAGGACACTGGCCACACCAATTGTTCCTACATATTTTCCAGCCCCATTGACCTGGGTCTGGGTCCTGCTTTGCTCCATGTTATGTTTATGGACTTGGCATAAGTACCACCCACTTCCCTTGTCCACACCATCCCTGGGCAATCCCAAACCTTTGAAAATGGGAACTAAAGCCCCAATCCCACATGATTTCCTCTTCTTTTTAAAAAAATCTTCACCCGAGGATATATTTAGAAAGAGGAAAGGAGAGAGAGAGAGAGAGAGAGAGAGAGATATCAGTGTGAGAGAGAAGCATAGATCGGTTGCCTCCTGCATGCACCCAACCAGGGGTCAAACCCACAACCAAGATGTACAGGATGATGCTCCAACCAACTGAGCCACCCAGCCAGGGCCCGACAGGATTTCTTCTCCTAACACAGCAACTTACCTATCACCTTGACCATCAGAGGTTCGCTGGTCATTTCGGAGTTGGAATGGCAATTACTCGCGTTGCACCGGTACTCCGTGTCTTCTGTGGGGTTATCTTTGAATACCGCGGGCTCATTTGAGTCTACCATGCGACTCTCCAAAATGTCAGTTGCTTTTAAAAGGTGATAAGAAATAGGCGAGGTTCCATTTATGGATTGGCAACTGACTTCTATGGTCTGTCCTTTTATCACCTCGAACGTGGAGTCATAAAAAATCCTGGGCTTGGAGAGCATTTCTAGAATGACACAGAGAGAAACCATCTGAAGCAAAACATCCCACCCAAGGGGTTCTTTCTCTAAACTCTGGGTTTCACTTTATGTCATTACTGTACTTTTAAAAGCCTGCCTGCACTATTTACAATAGCTAAGATCTGGAAACAGCCCAAGTGTCCATCAGTAGACGAATGAATAAAAAAGCCATGGTAGCCCTGGCCGGTTTGGCTCAGCAGTTAGAGCGTCGGCCTGCAGTCCAGAGAGACCCGGGTTCGGTTCCCGCTAAGGGCATGTACCTCGGTTGCAGTTTGTCCCTGGCCCTGGTTGGTCGTGCGGGTGGCAGCCACTCGATGTGTCCCTTTCACATCGATGTTTCTCTCTCTCTCTCTCCCTCCTGCTCTATCTGAACAAAGAATGAAAAGGTGTCCTCGGGTGAGGATAAAAAAAAAAAAAAAGCCATGGTACATATACACAATGGAGTACTATGCAGCTGTAAGAAAGAAAGATCTCTTATCTCTTGAGATGACATGGGGGGACCAGGAAAGTATTATCCTAAGTGAAACAAGCCAAGCAGAAAAAGACAAATGCCACATGATCTCACTTATTTATGGAATATAATGAACATAACTGTCTGAGGAATAGGGTAGACCCAGAAATACGGAAGTAGGGTGCAGACTGACATCCCTCAGAAGAGGGAGTGGTAGGGGGAAGGAAGAGATAAACCACAGAACTTATATGCATGTATGCATAGCCAATGGACATGAACAACAAAGCCGGGGACGGGGTGGGGGGGATGGGGAGGAGGGTGCCAATGGGATAAAAAAGGAGAAACATCTGTAACAAAAATTAAATTAAAAAGAAAAAAAGCCTGCCTGCCCCATCTACCTTACAGGTCTCCTTTAAAATGGTTAGGGCATGTGCGCGCGCGCATGTGTGTGTGTACGTGTGTATTGAGAGAGGGAAAGAGAATACTATAAACAAAAGATGACATAAATTCAAGAAAAACACCATGCTCTCTAAATACATGTTTATATTTTCATATCTCTCACATGCACATACATCCACATCCATGTTTTTAAAAAATTATTGAGAAAAAATACAGGAAAAACATTTTTAAAAAAACAAGAACACAAACAGAATATATTTTAAAACAAATTAGTGCCTCAGCCTCTCCTGATTGGAAACTGCATGCCTCCAAAACAAGAATTCTACTAGGTCATTACTTATAAGTTAGCTTATTTATAAAGCTTATATAATGAAATGACCTCCTCCTAAGAACAACAAAAAGAATTAAAATGAAATGACCCATGCTCGGCCAGAGTGGCTTAGTGGATTGAGTGTCGACCCATACTCAGTGACAGCTTGGCCAGAGTTCCACGTTCATTCAGAATCCCTCTCCTGCCCTGGCCAGTTTGGCTCAGCGGTTAGAGCGTCGGCCTGCAGTCCAGAGAGACCCGGGTTCGGTTCCTGCTAAGGGCACGTACCTCGGCTGCAGTTTGTCCCCGGCCCTGGTTGGTCATGCGGGTGGCAGCCACTCGATGTGTCCCTTTCACGTCGATGTTTCTCTCTCTCTCTCTTCCTTTCTCTCCCTCCCACTCTATCTAACAAAAAAATGGAAAAATGTCCTCGGGTGAGGATAAAAAAAAAAAAAAATCAGAATCCCTCTCCTCAAAGGGTAGTCCAGGGCCTAGCAGAACCAGCATCTCAAGGTTCTGGGTAGAGACATGGTATCTGGCTCCATCCTGACCTGCATGATAACCAGGTTTTGCACATTTATTCAAGTCTCAGAAGCGCAGCTCTAGGTGGTCTCAGTACCTACATTCCGCCCACCAGAAGTCCTAGACCTTTCTGGTCAGCCAGGACATGGATTAAAAACTAGAGCTTTGTGCCCGGCCGGTGTGGCTCAGTGGTTGAGTGTCGACCCACGCACCAAGAGGTCACCAGTTTGATTCCAGGTCAGGGCACATGCCCAGGTTGGGGCCCGATCCCTGGTGGGGAGCATATAGGAGGCAGCTAATCGATGTTCTCTCTCATCGATGTTTCTCTCTCTCCCTCCCTCTCCCTACCTCTCTTTCTAAAAATCAATAAAGAAAAAAAATTGAAACAAAAACAAACAAACAAAAAAACTGAAGTTTCGATCTTCAAATTTAGTGTTAACTAAACAGTGTTCCCTCCCCGGACTTGTGGGCAGATGCCAGCCCCAGCAGCCAGAATCATGCCAGTTCAGAGACCGCATCATTGGCATATAGTCACAGCAAAGCCATGAACTTCACTTTTGCCAACAATATTCTCTTTGTGTAGTCTCCTTCCTGTACTCTAAGCAGAAATCCACTTGCTTCTGTCCAGTCTCTCGATTTTACTCCTCTCTCTTTCCCTCGAGTTCTTACCCTGCCTCAGTCTGATCTGCCTTCAACTGGATACCATGGCAGGTGGTGAAAAAGCCACTTTCTCTCATTCAATCTCAGGACTGTCTGAGTCAGCAAGAACATACTCACCACACACAGTTATCCGGACTGCGTTGCTTGTCTTGAACACCTTGCCGATGCCTGCAACGCAGGTGTATATCCCACTGTCCCATTCTGAGGCTTTCTTGATTAAAGTATTAGTCTGCGACACAATCTTGTCTTCCTTCTGGATGGTGAAGTTGTCTACAATTGCTCTTGAGGTGGAACACCACAGGTGCAGGTTGTCGCCCTGGTCCAGAAGAGTGGCGGAAGAGTCCAGCCTCGGTTTGGAAAAAAGCTCTGAGAAACCAGTGAGTGGGAATAGAGTGAGATGTTCCTGGGAATTGCTCCCAAACCCCCTTTATAGAGTCCCTTAGCCCGGCTGCTTTTGGCAGAACCGACTCTCAACTTCCTTTGCTTCTCGAAGACCTGATAACCATGCAAATCAAGAACTAGAGTTCATTCTTTGCCTAGGAATTCCAATGGCAGGTTTGCCTCCCTTGTTAATCCAAACTATTTCATAGACATGGATTAGAAAAGGTTTGCAACTTGTAATGATTCATGAATTTACCTATTTATTCATTCACTTACACGTTTTATTCCACAAGTATTTTATTTCAGGTTATTTCTGTGCTGGGCACCTCCCTTGGCATTGGAGAGACAACAGTGAAAAAGAAACAGTCCCTGATTTCAAAGGACTGATGTCTTGTGAGTGGTTCCAACATAGTGTTTGCAGCAGATCCCACAGAGGGAACACTGAACCTAGGCACGGAGGAAGTCATCCTGGCAAAGAGGAAAAGGGTCACAGGCAGAAGGAACAGCACATGGAAGACCTGGCAGGAGGTTCAAGCACCTGAAAGGTCAGTCGGCCTGGAACAGTGGGAGTAGAAGAGTCCAAAGGGAGGCCTGTGGATCTTGAAGGACCTTGGCAACCACCTAAAGAAGTGTGGATTGCATCCTTCCAGCAATGAGAAGCATGGAGAGCCTGGGTCGGGGGAAGGCTATAGATGTATGTTGTGGAAAGATCTCTGGGAGGTGAATGAATGAGTGATACCTAGTACCCTTATTTAGGTTGGATTTAAATATTTCCTGAAGTACATCATATTTCATAGTTACAGTATACGTTTTTATTTGCAACTACAGGGAAAGTATTAATTAAGTACCTGACCAATGTGAGGACTTTGCCCTTTCTTACAAACCAATGCGTCCTGACTTCATGGTTATGGCCCTGATGCAGAATGAAGAAGGAGTCGGTGATTCTTCAGACTATTAGCATATTGAGGAAGGGACTGAGTCCCAAAGTTTCTCTGAGGGAAGCTTGTTGGGCTAGAGATTTGAGAATGCAATCAGGAATCAGGAAATCGAGTTCTACCTTTGCCTCTGTATTTGCCTGCTATATAGGTTTGGGGGTACAAACCAAGAACACTGTCATTGTCATCGCTGATGTTACATTGGTATGGAAGTCATTTCCATCTTAATTAGTTTGCAGTGTCTTCCTAGTTTCCTGTACAGGCAATAAAATAAAACTACAAGTAAGGTGGTTCCTCAGTAATTAATCTACATTTTATTAAGGCACATGCCATCCTGCCTTCTATATAGTAAATATTGACTCACTTGTTTTCAGAGCTCAAAACAAGGAGTGGGGAAAGAAACCAGAGAAATTGACATCTTGAAGTGCCACACACCCTCATTGGGCAGGTGGCAAAAAATGCGAAAAAAGGACTTAGAAAAAAAAAAATCCCAACACAATGACTTTACATTAAAAAATATGTAAACAGGCCCTGGCCGGTTTGGCTTAGTAGTTAGAGTGACCGCCCATGGACCAAACAGTCTCGGGTTCGATTCCCAGTCAAGGGCACGTACCTGAGTTGCAGGTTCGATCCCCCACGCCAGTCGGGGTCATGCAGGAGGCAGTCAATCGATGTGTCTCTCATGTCAATGTCTCTCTCTCTCTCTCTTCCTTCCTCCCTCCCACTCTATCTAAAAATCAATGGAAAAAATATCCTCAGGTCAGGATTAAAAATATATATATATGTGTAAACAAAAATGTAAAAAAATAGAAATCATGTTGCTGGTTTACAATTAGGAAGGAAATGTCAGGAAACAGTCTGCTTGTGAAGGAGATCATGTAAACAGACGAGCAGGACCATGACATGGGCTAATAAGGGTCAGTCTTGAACAAATATTTATTGAGCTCCTACACTGTGCCAGGTTCTCTGCTAAGTATCGATGATTTAAGATGAATTGAGCCACAGACCTGGTCCTTCAAGAGCTCACACCGAGTGGTGAAGACAGATGCTGCATCTTTGCAGTAACTGTTAGCGTCAGGAGAAGAGTCAAGTGCAGTGGGACCTGAGGTGTGGGGCTCTGCCTGGGGGAGCCTGGACTGAGATTTGGGGCTTAGTCTTTAACGACAACAGAAGTTTTCCAGTGGCCAAGAGGAAAGGATAGGCTGAGTAGGAGGAGACATTTAGAAGAGGGTGGGTCAAGGTGAAGAATCATGACCATGCAGGAGGAGTTTAACCCTCAGGAATAGGTATGTCAAATAGGGGACATCTTAGGAGGGCTTCTCCTGCAGCTGAAGTATGAGTTGAAACAGAAATGCTCAGGGAGATCCCTGTGGTAATCCTGGGGTGAGGGTGTGATTATAGAGTTGAGAAGACAGGACAGGGGTGACAGACCTGGCAGGGGCGTGGAAGAAACCCTTTTTCTACCCCAAGACAAATGAGTAATTCAATGATTTTCATGTTCACAAAAGTATTTTGAGCCTACAGTATTACTATAGAGAGCCACTTACAGTAAGACTTGATAGTAACAGGGATGTGGAAAACCAGATGCATAAGTGAGCTTGGTCGAACTTGAACGTGGGGGTGTCTGCCTGCCAGCGCTGATGTGGCTGGGTCAGCTCCACATGGAAAGGACAGAGTTCAGCCACAGTGCACGCAGGCTGAGGGCACGGAAGGGCAGACTGAGTAGAACACTTTGCTTTCTTGGGCTAGGGAGACTGATCTACTGAATGACTTGTACATCTCGCATGACACAGACATCTGGATGTGGGTAATCAGCTATAATAGTACCACATGGTCCAATGATGCCCTATGCTTTCCTTAAGTAGCCTGGCCCAAGGGGTAAGGATGCTTCTCTAACTGGTGAAACAGTCCATATGTTCACCTGTTGCTCTCACAGCACTATGCCCATCCCTTTATTTACTTCCTCATTGCATTGCATTCTAACAGCCTATTTATGTCTGTGAATTCTTCAAGGGCAAAGCTGGACCTTGGGCAGCTCTCTAGCACCAATAAGTTGACCAGCAAAACAGAAGGTGCTCAATGTACGTTGAATGTAGTACTTTCCTCTAATGAGATAAGACATGCCTTATCAGTGAAAAATAGCATGTGCCCTCAAAATATGTGTCATTTTCAACAGTAAACTAAATTGCTAGCACACACTATAGACCAGCAGGATCCAATACATAGGCCAATCACCCAGTTGGGTAGTTGGCAGCCTACCTAGGATAATGGGTATTGTTGCTGTGATACTCAATGCTTAACACACAGGAGGGTGTCAGTAAATGAGTGAACACCTTCACTTGGGAACTAAGAAGTGCTGACTCTCTGCCCTCTGAAACACTGTCATCCTAGGTTCATTTGTTCATGCAACAATGTGCCAGACACTGTTCTGGGTGTCAACAATATAGCACTGCACAAAATAGGTAATGTTCCTGCCCTAATCAGCTTACATTCTAGTGCCTGAATACACTCAATACACAGGAAGAAGCAGAATACATTTTTTGGTGGTAAGAGCTACAAAGAGAAATAAGGCAGGTAAGGCAGGAAGAAGTCCAAGGGAACTTTTAAGAGCCTGTGTTTGAAAGTTAAATAGGCCCCGGGGTGACTCTTGTTCTTCCACTTGGTAATTCTATAATTGTTGGGTGCGTTGCCCAACCTCTCAGCCTCAGTATCCACATCCATAAAATGAATCATGATATGGATCTCATAGCATTGTCATGGGCATGAAATGAAAAAGTATGCAAACAGGTCACATGGTGTTCAACAGAGGGGAATTGTTACTATTATCTCTGAGTTTGCTAATGCTTTCTCACTCCTGACCCTGTCAAAGGGCCTGCCTGGTGAATGTGCTATAATAATAGAAACAGTAGCTGACATTCACCCAATGCTTCCTCTGTATGAGGCTCCTTATGTCACCAAGTCACTGTAACAGTGCTATCCGTGTACTCTGTCATTACTCTCATCTCATAGAGCTGTGGCAAAGAGAAACTCAGTAAGACACCCAAGGTCACAGGAGTGGTGAGTGGAAAGGCTGGGATCTGATCCCAGAACCTGCACCCTCAACCGCCACAGCTAACTGCTTACTGGCTCTGCAGTGACTTCTCCCCATGAGCACCATGCCCCATCTGCATGCATTCATTCAGACAAGCAGAAATGAAGGTATGTCTCACTGGTCATCCTACATTCCAGCCCTAGACCAACAGCCTCCAGCAGCAGCCCTACCTGTTATGTTGACCACGATGCTGCTGACCTTGGATATCCGGCTGGTTTCCACTTTGCACGTGTAGTTGCCGCTGCGCTCCACTGTGGCCATCGCTGAGTAGGTGGCCGTGTTGCCCTGCCTGCTGTGCGCCACAATTGCCTTGTCCTTCTGGATTATGATTTCCGGAAATGCCAGGGCCATGTGTGCCACTTGAATGGTGCAATTAATGTGCATTAGAGTACCTTCTAAGATCGGCCCCTCAGGGTAGACGTAGAACTTGGGACTGGAGAAGGATTCTACAAAAAGAGGACAAGCAGTTTGGACTCAGGTTTAAACATGGGTGAGGGATGAAGGCACTGCTTCCTCTTCTCTGCTCTTTTTGTTGCTCTTCCTTGTTAATTTAAAAAAAAAAAAAAAAAAAAAGTGAAGCCTGGCCGGTTTGGCTCAGTAGTTAGAGCTTCAGCCCACGGACAGAAGGGTCGCAGGTTTGATTCCTGGTCAAGGGCATGTACCTGTGTTGCAGGTTCAATCCCCACCCCAGCCGGGGTCTTGCAGGAGGCAACCAATTGATGTGTCTCTCTCACCACATCAGTGTTTCTCTCTCTCCCTCCCTTCCATTCTCAAAAAATCAATGCAAAAATATCCTCAGGTGAGGATTAACAAAAAATAAGTAAATAAAGCAGTCAAGCCCTGGCCAGTTTGCCTCAGTGGGTAGAGTATTGGCCCACAGACCGAGGGACTGAAGGTTCGATTCCCAGTCAAGGGCATGTACCTGGGTTGCAGGTTTGATCCCTGGCCCTGGTTGGGGTCATGTGGGAGACAGCCTATCCATGTCTTTCACACACATTCATGTTTCTCTCTCTTTCCCTCCCTCCCTTCCACCCTATCTAAAAAAATCAATGGAAAAATATCCTTGGGTGAAAATTAACAACAAAAAAAGTCAACTTGTTCTCTCAGAAAACTTCAACTAGGCTGCTCTGATGCTCCCTCCTTCCTTGCTCGTTCTTGCATCTTCAACCTTCTTCTTAACTACAATTCTCCAACTTGACTGAACTTCCCAAAGGCTAAACCATCTTCTCTAGATCTCATCTGCAGCACCTTCTTCAAATGACCTCAGAAATAAGACCTTAGAAACAGACTCTTCCTGTCCTGGCCGGTTTGGCTCAGCGGTCAGAGAGTTTGCCTGCAGTCCAGAAAGAGAAACAGACTCTTCCCCCTGCCCCCCAAGGATTTCCTAGGTTCCTCTCACATTGTCTCTCAGAACTCTGGTGTTTCAGTATAAATAGTCCTTAGCTTTCAAAAATGACAGTGGTATAGAATGTGCTGGTTCATGGAAATAAATATTTAAATAACCAGATGCAAAAAAAAAGAGAGAGAGAGAGAGACTTCTAGTGTATTCTATTTCTTTCTTTAAAATGTTGGCTGTGACTGACTAAATTGATTTCATGGCTCACACAGTTTGAAAACAACATTTCAATAAAACATGAGTCAGAGACCAGGGTGTGGGATCTGAAAATGGTGAGGGAAGCAGAGCTAAGCCTTCGCTCCTGCTCAAAATAGCAGAGCATAGAGAGCATATACAAATAGGGACATTAAAAATGCCAACAATGGCTCGGCCAGTGTTGCTCAGCGGTTAGAGCGTCAGCCCGTAGACCAAAGAGCCACAGGTTCAATTCCAGTCAAGAGCACATACCTTGGTTGAGGTTCAGTCCCTAGCCCTGGTCAGGATCGTGTGGGAGGAAACCAGTTGATATGTCTCTTTTGCATCGTGTTTCTTCTCTCTCTCTCTCTCTCTCTCTCTCTCTCTCTCTCTCCCCCCCTCTCCCTCCTTTCCTCCCTCCCTCCCTCGCTCTCTGTCTGAAAGTAAAAGAAAAAAAATCCTCCAGTGTGGATTTTTTTTTTAAATGCCAAAAATGGCCCAGCTTGTATGGCTCAGTGGATTGAGCATCATCCCATGGACTGAGAAGTCCCAGTTGGATTCCTAGTCAGGGCACATGCCTGGGTTGTGGGCTCAATCGCCAGTGGGGGGCATGCAGAAGGCAGCTCGTTGATGTTTCTCTCTCTCTATCTCCCTCTCTCTCTAAAATCAATAAAAACGTATTTTAAAAAATAACAATGACAAACTGGAGAGAATATTTACACAGTACCTGACAAAGAGTTAATTCCTTTCATTTATAAAGGGCTCAAACAAATCAATAAGGAACAGTAAAAATGGGCAGAGTGCACAGGAACAGGTAGTCTATGGGAATGAATGTAAAACACTAATAAACATAAAGACCATACTCAACCTCACTAGAGACCAAAGAAATACAGATCACAACAACAATATATCATCGTGCCTCAGACTGGCAAACAGAACGCTGATAACACTGTTAGTTAGGTTGGTAGAGTATCCCGTTTGATGGAAATGCTCAGTCATTTTGAGGAGTACTTTGGCAATATCTATCGATATTGAAAATGTACAAAACATTTCTGTTGAGATTGTCTACTACTAGGAATCAACCCCATAATAATAATAATAAAATACTTGCAAAAGTACACAAGTTTTAAATGCAAGTCTGTCTGTTGCAAAATTGTTTCAATAGCAAAAAGTGGGAAAGTACCTAAATGTCCATCAATAGAAAAATGCAAATACATTATAATACATCCCGACAACAGTATTCCCAGTTGCCGCTAAAATGACGTAGATCTACATTTCCTGATGGGGACAGAAGTCCATAATATATTAAATTAAGAAAGAGTTATAAAATAGTGTGTTTGACAAGTTCTATTTTTTTTAAAAAGCAAAGAAAAACAAAAACTTTGTGTGGGCATGAATGTATAAGTGGAGAGTAAGTCTAGAGGACCACACAAGTGGTTTTCTTGTAGTAGTTGTACTATGAATGATTTGTACTATGATACTGTATACCATGCCATATTTTCTAAAAATTTAATCCATACCATGCAGTCTAATCAGAAAATATTATATATACATGATGTTTATATATGTATATAAATATACATATACATATTATGTAATATACATAGACACATATACATACACACGGGCAGGGGTGAAGTCAGGTGCTGAAAGCAGAGTGTCGTTTATCAGACTTTAGAGCTCCTACTTTGATAACATTCGGGCCAACTGTATAAGATCATGTCTTCCCCTGACTGTTCCCCACAGGTCCCAGGGTTGCCTGTTCTCGCTCAAGAGCAACTCTCAGGTCACCTCACTGCTTTCCTATTTGTCCAACTCCTGTTGATGGGGTGTGGGGAAAAGAAGGGAGTTCCTCATCCAGTGTGGAAGGCAAAGGCTGAGGACCTGGCCCCCCTTCCCTCCTGGTCCCCTCTAACCCTGCTTGTTGATGTCTGACCCACACTGGCTTAAAGCGTTGGTCTCCAAACAGCAGGTCACACGGTACGTCATTTTAGTGAGTCATGGCCAGAGTTTAAAAACAAAAAACTGAAATAGAATAGAACAGAAAGAGCAAAATGCATCACCTATTAAGGTTAAGTATCATTTGTGGAATTTCATTTGGAAAATAATGTAATAATTAATAAATAATACAAGAATAAACTGTGTTTCACGTACTTACACCTATAAACCTACTTTTGCCCTATGCTGTGTGTGTGTGTGTGTGTGTGTGTGTGTATAAATATACATATTAAACTGTGCCAAAGTCAGAAAGTTTGAAAATTATGACCTTAAAAGAAAACCATGGCCTTAAAGTGATTAAGAACAGTCTTGAGAACAGCAGCCCAGCCAGAAGCCCCCAGCCCCTTTTTCATCCTGGGCTCTTTCTCCCCATACCACACCAGCAAACTAGAAAGAAATAAAAAAAGAGCAGCGCTCTGACCCCTCACGGTGACCACGTCGCTCTTGGTGGTTTCGGAGGTCTCCATGTGCCTTACGGAAACAATGCTGGCTTGACATTGGAAGTAGATCACACGTTCCTGCTCCTCGACTGTGAATTCCAGCGACACAGAATTCTGGTTCGGAGAAGATTTTTTTCTTTTTGACTTGGTATCTTTGGTTCCTAGGTTGACTTTTTCTATTGTGAAATGTACTGGGCCTTTTTCCTCAGGGACAGAACAATTGATCATCACGACCCCACCTTCTATCACCTCCTTCTTGTCCAGCATCACTCTGGGAGGAGGCACTCCTTTGGGGAAAGAGAAAGTCCGTCAGTATCCGTTGATTGAACGGCACAAGTTGAGTCACTGTTGTTGACCCATCGAAAGGTTCTTTTCTTTTATTCCCAGAACACCCAGTGCTACCTACCAAGTAATTATAGCACATATATGTGCCCAGCACTACACTAGGTACTTTGCAAAGTATAAAATATGTTGAAGATGTGTTTGGTGCTTTCAACATTTATAATCCCATTGGAAAGACAGGTTTTCCCAACTGAAACAGTTAACAACAAAACAAAACAAACCAGCCAGTATTCATCAATATTACTGTGACTATTGTTATACTTTATCGAATGCCAGTCACAGGCTCAATTGACTTTATATCCATGACCCCATGTAATTCTCATAATAAACCTCCTGGGTGGGCACGAAAGATAAAATTATGTCCATTTTACAGATGAAGAAGGTGAAGCTCAGAGAGGTTCAGGGCTCATCCAAAAGCTCATAGCTATGAAGCCCAAGTTGAGATTCAACCCCAGGTCTGTCTGACTCCAAAGCCAGAGGTTGGGGTAGCGGGGATGAGAGAGAAGATGGTACATGGCCTCCAAGGTCAAAAAGGAAAGCTGAGCCCTGGCCGGTTTGGCTCAGCGGTTGGAGCGTCAGCCGGCGGACCAGAGAGTCCGGGGTTTGGTTCCCGTAGGGGCACGTACCAAAAAAAAACAAAAAGGAAAGCTGAAAATAACCAGGCATCAGAGTGTGTTGCAGAGACAATGAACAACGGAGCAGTCAGGAAAGGAGGAGGCTCTCTCTGCCTGGGTATTCAGAGAAAATTCTAGAAAGTGACAGGGTCTGAGAGGAATCCTGGAGAAGGGTGTTATTTGGGTAGGTGATGTGGGATGGGGCTAAGGACAGGCATTTCAGGGTGCACATGTGTAAGGGAAACTGCTTGGGCCACAGTAGATGAGTGGAGGGCCACCTAGAGCAGAGAAAGGGGTAAGGAGGAAAGTACATCGGGTGGGGAACCAGGTCAAACTAGGGGCAGCTGGGAGAACCTGGCTGAGATTCGATGTCCTGTCCAGGCCCCATGGCCTGGTGGTCATGAGCTTCATCTTGGAGTCAGACAGACTTGCTTGCACTCTAAATCTGCCTCTTCCTGGATGTGCCACCTTACCCAGTCACTTATGACTCTTATAAATCCTTTTTTTTTTTTTTTTTTGCCCATCATTCAGAGATGGAGGGCTGTCTGCTGGGGAGGGAGATCTGTACCATATTCATAGCACTACTGTCACCTGTGGTGGCAGCTATTCGTGAAGGCATTCCCCTGCTCCACACTGAGCTCCCCGAGGGAAGGGACCATGCCTTACTCATTGTTGGATGCTTGGCCTGGCTTAGAGTAGGGACTCAATAAATGTTTGATGAATAGTTGAATTGCCTTTTGTTTACCTCAAAGACCTATCATAATAACCAAGAGTTAGAGGTCAACTTTAGAGTCAAATAGACCTTGGTTCTAATTCTAGCTTTGCCTTTGATGGACTGTGAAACTTGAGCACACCACTCAACCTCTCTGAGCCCCCTAGTCCACACCTGTAAGTGGGAGGAGCCACACTTCTCTCCCAGCGCTACTGCAGGGGTTAAATGAAATGTAGGCAAAGAACTTGTAACCGTTTATCTCATGAGAGCCTAATAAGTAGTAGTTCTTATTACTGGAAGTAATAATAGTATGAATAACTGTTCTGATTACAAAAACACAAAAATGCAGAAATGACGGTCATGGCAGCAGCTGTCAAGAAATATGGGGTTGAATTCACTAACTCTGTCCATTACTCATCCAAGTTTTTAGAAAAATTACCTGAAGTTTCAAAAGCCTGCCAGCACATTTCTTTCCAACATACATTTCCCAAACTCTGCCAATCTTTCCTCATCACTAATGTAGATGCCCAGACCTGTTGGTTCCTCCCCTGTCCTCAGTGGAGATGGAGAAGGACTGGTCTGCGTCATGTGGCTGTTGCCTCTGGTGACACAGAGATGTTGGCCAGCCATGCCCCCCTGACTGCCCATGGAACACCCACGGAAGAACTGACCTGGAGGATGATGCAGTCATGTTCTCCCATGTGAGAAAGTGGTCAGAGATTGCATACTTATCAAAGAAAAATGCCACCGGATACTTGCCCACAAGTTCTTCCTGCTGCTTCCTGTTAACTAAAAGGGTTGGTTTTTTTCCTAAGCATGGCCTGGCCCAGTACCTCATACATGATGGGCCCTGCATTCATTCAACACTTGGTTACTGAGCACACTTCATTCTCTATTTCGTTTAATCCTTCATCAAAATACCATTCAAGGGTACGTGTAGTTAACTAGTTATCTCCATTTTAGAGACAGGAAATGAAGATTCCAAGAGGTTGGGCATTCTACTAGGATACTCGCCTCTTTCTCAGCCTCTGCTCTTTCATTCTGATGCCACGTCCCTTTTCTCTGCCCTTGTTCCCCTTCACCATCAAGCAAACGCTTACACGATCCTCTGGAACTCAACTCGATGTCCCTTCCTCCAGGAAGACATCTCTAACTTCTCTAGGCAGAATTATTTCCTCCCATCTGTGTGCTCCCTGGGCTCTCGGGTCATATAGCTACTGGACTGTAATCGTAAGTTTAAACGTCTTCCTTCCCCACCAGGCTGCAACTGCCGCTGGAGCTGGGGCTTACCTGATGCGTTTTCATGTCCTGACCTGGTTTTTTCCCTGACTTGTAGCCTTGGGAAATGTTTCTCCAGGGAATGAATGAATGAATGAATGAATGAATGAATGAATCCCTATATCTCTGATCCCAAATTTCCCACAGTGATTTCTCTCCTGTTCCTCCATCCCCTTCCATTTCTACTCCCCCTTCCCCTTCCATTTCTAGTTCTCCTTTTCATCCAATCATTTATTGATTGCCTACCGGGAACCATATTCTTTGTTTGAGATACAGAAATAGACCTAACACCACCTCTTTCCTAATGACCTCAGTCCAAAAGAGCAGACCCATGTGTGAGAAATAGTTGCAATACTGAGGAAACAGGTAAATGCCATTCACTGGGAACTTGTTATGTGTTGGCATTAGGTTAGGCCCTTTCTTTACCTACAGTATTTTGTAATCCTCTCAAAACTCCCTGAGCTGAGTATTATCATCTTCATTTCACTGACGAGAACTTTAAAATTTAGAGAGGTCAAGGACTTGCCCAGATTGGAACCCAGGCAGACTGACTACAGAATCCAGTGTCAGTGCTTGACCCAAAGGCCTTGGTACAAATACCATTGAATGTAGAGGGAGCATCAGAGCTATGAAGACCCTGGGGGAGATCAATTTTGTTTGGGAAAATGTCAGAGAAGAGATCAGTGAGTCGAGTCTTGAAGGGGAAGTAGTAGTTCATGAGGAGATGCGATAAAGCAGGGTATTCCCGGAAGAGGGAACAGCATGTGCAAAGGCAAGATGGTGAGAAATAGCCTGGCATGTTGGGAGCATGTCTAATGCCGACATTGTCAGGTTAGGGAAGTGCCAGGAAGATGACTGAGAAAGGTGATGGGTCAGCAGGTTGGTCTACTGTCACTGCATCCAATTACTGTTCTTGCTACTGCATGTGTTCTACATCTGCTTGAGCTACATTCAGTTCCAGGGACTCACCTCTCACCAACACTTCATATTCCTGTGTGGTTTTCACCTTGTTGTTCAGAATCGCAGTGCATTTGTATGTTCCTGAATCAAAGACCCGGGCTTGGGGGATGATATAACTCTCTGTCATCTCCGTGGAGGAGACATTGCGAAGCAGCACATCATCCTTATAGAACAGCACCTGGTGCTGAGGCCTGACGTGAGACGTGGTGCTGATGTCCACGTTGCACCGCAGGGTCATGTTCTTCCCGTTTTGCACTTCCTGGCTTGGCAGGATTACCATGTTGATGCTGTTGATGGTGAAAGCTAAATGATAAGAGAAGGAGGAAAGACACATCTGTTACTTCAAAAAAACAATGTCCTGCCCTGGCCGGTTTGGCTCAGCGGTTAGAGCGTTGGCCTGCGGTCCTGAGAGACCCGGGTTCGGTTCCCGCTAAGGGCACGTACCTTGGTTGCAGTTTGTCCCCGGCCCTGGTCGGTTGTGCGGGTGGCAGCCACTCGATGTGTTCCTTTCACATCGATGTTTCTCTCTCTCACTCTGTTCCTCTCTCTCCCTCCCACTCTACCTGAACAAAAAATGGAAAAATGTCCTCTGGTGAGGATAAAAAAAAAACAATGTTCTGGTAACCTTCACCACATTGGACTGGTGTCATCCTACATAGTATACTGTCCAGGGGTCCCAAATGCCTACAAGGGCCAGATGGGTAATAATGATGGGCACTGGGTCAAGCATGAGGCAGTTGGTACTAAGTTGCTCATTTTCCCACCAAGACAAGGTGGCGGTCTTCATGGACATAAAACATGTCCATAAGATATATGCAGCTCGCGAACTGCCACATTGTGGCCCCTGGAAGAAGCATAGGATTCAGGCAGACAAGTATTCAAGTCCTGGTTCATCACTTACTGTGTGACTCTGGGCAACAAACCTCTCTATGCTCTGCTTCCTCATCTGTAAGATGGGGTATTAATACTTACTCAGTAGTTGTAGCCAGACTTGCAGGAAAAGACCCATACAGTGCCTGACATACAGTGATAGCTTCATAAGTGACAGCTACCACTATTCTGAAATCGGATGGTCACACCCTGGAAATTCCCTTCCTCACCCTCGCCTGACACAATTACCACAGTCCCAGCTGGTGTTTTCTAGCTGATGAACTTAGAGACCTCACCAGATGGGTGAGGACTTGAAACTGTCTGTGAGGCTGCCACATGCAGTCGCCATGCCCACCTGCCCTTGAGAAGCAAAGCGCACAGGTTCTCCTCTACTCATGAAGGAAATCTCCGCTCAAACACCCAGAGCAGCTACAATGCCCAGCTAGCTCCCCAGTCTCTGCCAGCAACCAGTACCAGATCAACTAGCCAAGGGCATCCTTTCTCGCTCATGTCATCCAGCATCTAACATCCAGCAACCACGGCCTATTGACAGAATTCAGCTGGATAGAGAGCACATTTTGAGACTTATTTATGATGATGGGCTGATGGGAAGATGAACTGCTTGAAAGTAGGTGCTCTCTGGCTACTTAATAAATATTTTTGTCTGTTGGTTTGTTGATGGTGGGCCACTGCACTGAAATTTTTCCAGGACCCTACTTATTGTTCAGGACTTTTGTCCAAGCTTCAGAGCAGATCAGGGCAGGTCTGTCTTTTGAGAAACCTCTTGATCCTGCCACAGGTCTTTCTGCAGTCCCCTGGGTTCCTAGTTATGTTCATTGATGTACCTCAAAGCACCTCAGCTCTACCTTCCCTGTGGTTTATTATCTAAACGCATGGACCTAGGCCTAATCAGAGCTATAAAATATTCACTCTCCAAACTCGTGTCACAATAAACAACTTCAACTACCTTGTGATCTACATACGACTAGAAAGAATATAGATAATATGTCAGGGAGTATTGGGGGAAATGCATCTGAAGTCCATGACCTTAAAATCAGCCTCTCAAAAACTCTAAACACCGACACCGCCCCTGTAAACCTCCACCTTTCCCATTCTAAGGAGACCACCTACCAAGCACTGGGTGTGGGGTTGAGAACTACTGTACCTGGTGTACTTTGCTAGCTTCCTGAGTCACCTACCTCCACAAAATGCAGATAAAATCATGATAAGATATAAATTTTTTTTTTTATCCTCACCCGAGAACATTTTTTTCATTTTTTGTTCAGATAGAGTGGGAAGGAGAGAGAGGAAGAGAGAGAGAGAGAAACATCAATGTGAAAGGGACACACTGAGTGGCTGCCACCCACATGACCCAACCAGGGCCAGGGACAAACTGCAACCGAGAGGTATGTGCCCTTAGCGGGAACCGAACCCGGGTCTCTCTGGACTGCAGGCTGACACTCTAACCACTGAGCCAAACCGACCAGGGCAGACTTAAAATTTTTATTTAAATTTTTGAGTGGATAGTGTAGTCAAATGTTTCAAAAACCCCAAAGGTAGATGATATGATATCTATGAGAAACCCCAAAGAGCCTACTGACAATCATCTAAAACAATGTAAGTTTTTATTGTTTGTTTTTTGTTTTTATCCTCACCCAAGGCCATTTTTTTCATTTTTTTGTTCAGATAGAGTGGGAGGGAGAGAGAGAGAAACATCAACATTAAAGGGACACATCGAGTGGCTGCAACCCGCACAACCCAACCAGGGCTGGGGACAAACTACAACCTAGATACGTACCCTTAGTGGGAACTGAACCCAGGTCTCTCTGAACCGCAGGCCGACGCTCTAACCGCTGAGCCAAACTGGCCAGGGCAACAGTGTAAATTTTAAAGGGTAGATGGGTAGCCCTGGCCAGTTTGGCTCAGTGATTAGAGCGTTGGCCCGCAGACCAATGAGTCATGGATTCAATTCCAGTCAAGGACACATACCTGGATTGTGGTTTGTCCCTGACCCTGATGGGTCGTGCGGGAGGCAAGCAGTTGATATATCTCTATCACATCGATATTTTTCTCTGTCTTTCTCTCTCTTCCTCCCTCCCACTCTAAGGATAAATAATAATAATAATAATAATAAAGGGTAGATGAATATAAGATTAATATTAAAAATCAAGATGGTGGTCACATCTGAAAGGAAGAGGTGGCTAAGATTAGGAGGAGCATACAGGTAGGCAGAGATATGGGTAATTGTCTAATGCTTGGGTGGAGTGGTGGGGTCCTGCGAATTCACTGTTATTAAAAAAACACATGTAAATAAAACGACAGGCAATTATGCATGGATCAAGGATGAGAGTGAGCCCTGGCTAGTGTGGCTCAGTTGGTTGGGTGATGTCCTGTGCACTGAAAGGTTGCCTGTTTGATTCCTGGTCAGGTCACATGCCCAGGTGCTGGCTCAATCCCCAAAGGGCATGCAGGAGGCAGCCAATAGATGTTTTGTTCTTTTTTTTTTTATCCTCACCCGAGGACTTTTTTTTTGCAGTTATCTTCAGATAGATCAGGAAGGAGACAGGGAGGAAGAGAGAGAGAGAAACATTGGCGTGAGAGAGACACATCGAGTGGTCACCACCCATAGGACCCCAACCAGGGCCGGGAACAAACTGCAACTGAGGTACATGCCCTTAGCAGGAAGCGAACCCGGGACTCTGGTCCGCGGGCTGATGCTCCAACCACTGAGCCAAACTGGTCAGGGCGATGTTTTGCTCTTACATTGATATGTCTTTCTCTGCTCTCCTTTCCTCTCTCTCTAAAAAAATAATTTTTAAAAAGTATACATATGTACTTATGTTCAGTCCAAATCTGTGTACTTAAAGTGCAAAAAAGAAAAATACAGAGAAAAAGATAGAGTGTAAAACCTCTTTCCCATTCTCTTTCCTGTCCACCTCGCCTTGTAGAAGTAACCACTGATTTTAGTTTCTCGTGTACCCTTCCAGCTAGTCTTTATGCATCTACAAACAAATACAAAAATAAAGTCATATTTACTCCTCCCCACTCTTTTACAAAAGGCATAACTTCATACACAGAGTTTGGCAGCTGCAAGTGTGGACCTTACTCGGAGTTTATGTGGCCCATAACGACTTGAGAGGCCAGAGATGGTGTGGGACAGTGGGCACTAGGTGTTGATCAAGCAAAACAGGGTCACATGGCTTAGGTAAGGCTCCTAAAAGTTCAATTCTCATCAGACACTTTTGATAACAGAAAAATATTCATGAGCCATGCCTGATAAATGTATATTTATTGAATCTCCTGGGTACTCGAATGCTCCTTATTTTTAGATCAAGGAAGAATTTCAGATATCTGCAATTGGACCTCCTTGCTATGGTCCCTCATTGAATTATATTAAACAACACATAATTTTTGTAAGTGGTCCCAGATCAGTTTTCTTTTTAAAATATGTTTTCATTGATTTTTAGAGAGAAAAGAAGGGAGAGGGAGAGATAGAAACATTGATGAGAAAAACAGATCTGCTGCATCCTGCATGCCCCACACTGGGAATTGAGCCTACAGCTGGGAATCAACCGGCGACCTCTTGGTGCATGGGTATATGCTCAACCACTGAGCCACACAGGCCGGGCTTAGATCAATTTTCAAATAAGAAAAGGCACAGCTAGCTAGCTGGCTGGAGACACTGGCAAAAACTGTCTTGCCCGTTCTTTTAACAAAGTCAAACCTTTTTTCAGCAATTTAGAATTTAATTTGTCTACAACGTCTCAGGTTTTTGAATGAATACAATAGTCCACATCTGTCCCTTTCTTCTGAGCAATTAATTTGACAAAAGATGACATCTGCTGAGTCTATGAGATGAAACAAGGTGCGGGTTTAAATTCAAGTTATTTCCACAGCATTAGTCATTAGAAGTCCCTTTTCTGTTCTCTATTCCTTGTTAGCTCCTGGTCGGAAGAGCCTGCTGGGTGAGCTCTCAGTACAAAAGTTTCTTTGGACCATATTGAGTTTCCAATTGATCAACTGGGTCCCTTCCCAGGCAGGGACAGGCAAGTGTCACTACCCCTCCTTCATTTTAAGCTATGCTGTTTAGTATAGTGATTCTATCAGGAGATATTAGACAGAAGTTAAGTGCAGAGACAGACTGCCTGAGCCAAATCCCACCTCTGCTGCTCACAAACTGTGTGGCTTCTGGCAACTTACTGAGCTTCTCTGAGCCTCAGTTTCTTTATCCATACAATGGACGTAATAATAATAAGTGTACATGGGAACCTGAGTTAAGTACTTGGCACTGATGAAGTACTTGAAGAACATTAGCTAGATTCTGTCAGTCACATATGTAAAACCAGCTCCTGAGTTTTGAGGTCTCTAACTCTCCATCTCATTTCAACTCTGTGTTTCTAGTGAGTTTTGTTTTTTTTTTAAGAAAAACATTT